AGTTAGAGCTTCTGCTGTTGATGACTTGAAGGAGTACTTGTGGATCGAACTCGGTTTCTGGCCTCCATCTCGGGGCGCTTCCTTCCTCCTCCTCGGTGCGGCTTGCAGCTATGGCTTCGGCGATGGCCTGCTCCACTTGTACGGGATCCTCATGCGGAAATTTGGCTTTCAGACGTGCCCATGTCTCGTCGTTCCCCGGTGACGGTTGATCGGCTAGGAGCGCTCTTGCTGCGTCCTTCACGCCTCCAGAGTGCCGGCACGCCCTCGCCGCCCTTTTGAACTTGTCGTCGGGTGTGTCTTCCCGTGCCGGTCCCCTGCTCCTTGCACTCGCCGCCTTGGTATACTCAATCAGCCAAGGAAGAACGGACGATATATCCCCTCTTTTGAGCGAGTTGTAGCGTTTTTTTCGAGCTATCCGACCATCAAAGGAGTGCAGAATACCTGGTAGGAGGTACCAAAGTTTGATGACCCGGATAGTGGAAAGTGGGGTCCCGGTCGCCGAGGAAGCTCCGCCGCCTTCTGCTAGCTGCTTGTTAACAAGGTGGAGCACGTGAGTTTGGAGACGGGCATGGTCGGAAGCAAACCTAGGTTGAACTTTCTTCACCGTCTGGAACCTGAGTGAGAGATCATCCATGCTGACATCGTCCAAAGCAGGCCCTATTCCCGGACTGTCTTGGTTCCAGATGTACAGCGGACGTGCTCCGTGGGGTTCGTCGTTTAACCCCCTTATCAGTCTTTCAGCTCGTAGCTGCAGCCCCGGGTCAGCTTGAACCGCCGCCTCCAGGCTGTCCCTCCGAGAGTGTTGGTCCCCGCACCCGTGCACCCTACACTCAAGCAGCGCGCGTTCTCCGCGTCCCTCCAAGCTAGTTAGTACGCATCTTGCGTGGATGGGATGCCCGCAAGTGGGTTGCACCACACGGTGTCCCTCGATGACCTCACCCGAGCACACTCCGCATCTGGTACTGGAACGAGGGTGCTCGCTTCTGTTCCCCGTGGCGCCAGGTTCCATGCTTCCTCCAGCGTCCCCGTTCCTGGTCGCTCGGTCATCGGCACCCGGAGTACCCGTTCGTCCCGATTCCCTTCCCCGGTGTGTTCGTGCCGGATGTGATGGCGTTCCTCTTTCTCGCGACTCACCGTCTGGATCCGGTTCACTTCCCTGCCGGCGTCGCCTGTTTCCGCCTTGAGGTGGTTCCGAGGAAGTTCGTTGACGTTCACCCGATGTAGTAGCGTCATCCGATAATCCGCTACCCTCGCGAGCAGATGGTCTCATTTCTCTTTGAAACAAATCCAGTTTGGTTGTAAGCTAACGTCTGCACCTCCGTACACCTGTCAACAAGGTGTGGCACACGCTTCTGTTTCCTTGCTTGCTCGTCACTGCTGCTACCGCCGTAGCACGGGTCACTTCAACAGATGGACTGACATGCGTCATCAGTCTATTTATCTTGCTTTTAGTGAGAACCTCTTTTCAGCAGATCTGGCGTTCGCTGAAAAGAACCGAGCAAGCTAGCACGAGCAAAACTATGGGAACTGTTCTTGACTACACAGCCTTAGCGGACCCTAAGACTTTCGTTTTCAACAAGGCAAACACCGCATGGGGAAAGGTGGGGTAATAACAAACAAAAACAACAAGCTGAAAACGGTCCTGTGTGACGTTCCTCTTGTGTTGACCCCGGCTGATACGTCAGGAATATAGTCTACGCCGAAAGGCCTGTAAACCGGCGCCAGAATAGATGGGACATTGGTAAATTGAAGAGGAGATACTTTTACGATGTAAATGACAGTAGAAATAAGTCCTACATATGTTGTTGTACTTCGTATTGGTTTAATATTCATGTAGAGTATGAGACATTAAGTGAAAGTTTTCTGAGGTACATCTGCAATTGTCGGAAGGCAAAAATAAATAAATAAGATGGGACTCAGGTCATTTATTCTAAGCCCTTCTTTTCGGTATTTTTTTTCCTACGATTTGTACGACCCAAAAAAGGGTCGACGAAAAAGATGACCCGCTTGTTGCGGTGCTGGCCGATCCTTTTTGCTCATCCGAGTCATCGACCAAACAAAAAAAAGAGACAATGCACCGGCCGTTCTCACACAATCAGATACCTTCCCACCGTTTGGTTTTTCGGTGACATCTCCGCACAGAGTGAAGCAACAGCAACTGTAAAGCTATCCCCCGCGAGCTGTGTGTGTGCATGGTCCGCCAGTGTGGCGGCTGATAGAGACTACAGGGCGACAGGAGGCACGGAAACGGAGATGGCGCGAGTCAACAGCACGCTGAAAAATGCCCACTACTCCAGCAACCAGTTGTGTTTGTGCTTTTGCCCGCCGTGTCGCGACATTGATTTACCGATGATCCCTTGCCACTCAAGCAACAGGTATGACTTCAGTATCCGCCACGAGTTGTGTGTATCGTGCGTCTTGTGTGGTGGTTGACACCAATAGACTGAAGGGTGCAGCAATTGTGAGCGCGAGAGTCGTGAACCAGCAGGAAAAATGACCCGCCTCGTGTTAAGCAACGTTTGTTTCTCTAATGCCCGTGTCGGAACTTTAGTTCACATATGATCCCTCGCCACCCACTGAAGCAACAGCAGCAGGACAAAGGTATCCGCCACGAGCTGTGCGTATGATTCGTCTTGTGTGGTGGTTGATACGGACCAGGAGGCTTAGGATGCCCAGAAGTTGGGTTCGCATTGGTTGAAAGCACACGAAACATGACTCACCGCTGCTCCGTCCAGGCTCTCTCGGCTCGTTTGCCACTTGTTTGCGGCACACATTGGCACACATCGGGTTGTCCGCCTGGTCCAGTCGCATGAAAAAACAATGGCTTGATGCTACCGACTCTGTACCAGCCGACACAACTCGTGTGACCACCGTCAGAGTTTGCGGGAATCAACCATCGAGATATTCAAATTTGTAGGTACGAGTCTGCGGTTGTGACAAATAAACAACATTTTTTTAGCAGCGACAATCGATCCAACAATTCCTAAAGAGAGCATGGCGTGTCCAAAAGGTTGTCTATTTTTCCCGGTCTTCCTTAGCAAATAAAAACCTCGTAAGAAGGGGGTTCTTTTGCCAGTGTCTTGTTTTGGTGATGGACAGAAAAATATCAAAAGCAAAAGGGACCGTAAGAAATAGCCTAAATGCAGGAAACAATGAAAGGAATAAGGTCGTCGCCGGCAAAGCCTAAATCATCCTCTGCGGCAGCCCCGTTCCCCCAGCAAGCCCTGCTCTGACCAGAAGAGCGACCCTGCCTGGCTTTCCCCTGGAAAGGGCTGCCACATCGCTCTTACCCTCGTAGAAAGGAAAGACAATCGAGGTTACTTTGCACCGCCTTGCCAAAAAGACCCGTGCAAGGACACCGATTATCAAGAATCGTGCACGGTTCTTCGGCTCCTGAGCACTAACAACCCAAACATGTGTGTCAGCTCTGCTGGACACCTGTTAGAGAGACTCTTATCATTCGGTGTTCCGATCGGCGTATAGGTCTCGACTTACTTTTTGTCTTCTTCTCCTTTGCTCATTGCCAGCCAGCTCTAGCTCAGCATAGAGACCCGACCATGTGCCTCTATCCCTTCATAGAATCTGAATGTCGTATATTCTATGCCCCATCTACCGAAACTGCAACGGGGGATTCATCAACCACCACCTCACCACCTGTTTTGACTCGGCCTCCCCCTCCACCGTCCTAAATACCGAAAAATCGATATTTTTCAGAGGACGAGGATAGGTCTGCCGGCACAGGTGCTAGGTTGGCGTTGTTGCAATAAATCTAGACAGACCATTGGGTCATGGTTGGGGTAACGATGGGGTGATGACATGATCATGTCTCGGTCATGGTCCGCTCTCCATCGTGACCCGGTCATGATGGGGTCGCGACTCGGCAAAAACACAATCATGAGTGGATCACGGCCAGGTCATGATCCAGCAGCCTGGCCAAATTTCCTGCGACATGAGAAACATCAATTAAGTCATGACCGGTCATCATCACCCGGTCAAGGCCGCGAGGTACCCACCCAATGATGATGTCACTCATTGTAGCTTGGAGCGACATCTCCACTGTGGGTAACTTGCCCAGCAAGACAGTGTGTTGGCCATCTTGTGTATCGGGTTGCAGCCAAGCTGAGCTCGGAGATCCGTCTTTTCGTCCCTCCTTGGCCATTTCTCGCCTTCTTTTGTCGTTGAGTTTGTTTCACTGTACCACATGCCCCATCTGTCAGTTATCAGTGCATGCAGCCGCTTGCCCTTCGCCAAGCAGCCGCTTTTGTTCCACACACACCATCATCGGAGGGGCTAGCGGGAAGCAAATGGCGACATATATCTCCGCTGTGCTCATGTGCATATCGAATGCGGGTACAGCGGCTGTTGGTGGCGCGCACAAGGGCGGGGGACCCCACTATATCGGGCGTGTCGTAGGCGATTCGCTCCGAAAAGCCCCAAAGCCACGCAACCTGCATATTCATCGGGCATATCACCACAGTATTTGGCAGACTGTCGGGTGCTTTGATTTTTTTTCGAATATTTTGGTTGACCTTTCGTTGCGTGGAACAGCCTGAGAGACACGCCGCACGAAAGTCAAAACGGAAACAAAATCTCAGGGTTTAGATTCAATTGCGGTTGTCCCTGGTGTCTGCTTCAAAGGAAACGGTAATGCAACGATTCGGTGTTTTCTCACTGTGGCGGTGACGAAATGTTTTTCGCCGGTGTTATGTTCTCGTGGTTCGCAGTAAAAGCTAGCTCAGGAGGTAGACCGCGAAACTCCAGAAATACCGTGGCAATTCACACAAAGCTATTTTCTACATCTAGGCATTTTTTACTGGCAGACGCATATTACAGGACGATAAAAATGTTGCTAGTGAGGCGTTCCATGTAGCGGGAGGTGTAAACGCCAAGGTTAGGCAGTCAAAGGCAAAAGTATCGATCGATGTGGTTACAAAATAATCAACTTCTGTCATCGGGCTTGGTCCATCACTTCAGTCGTGTCTTTCTAGTCTCATGCTGTGATGCGCAAACGCCGGGTTTCCGTTTCGTATCTTGGAAGCGACGATCGACCTAGAGCTACAGGCGAAGAACGTCGATGTCGGGCAACGAAAGTGCTCTTCTGCCCAGACCTCTGCGCGAGCAACGTCACGGACAACGTTGCGAAGGTGCAGACGCGCGGTTCCCTCAGCCGATCGAGCAAGCTGACATTTCTGCAGGAGCAACCCATCGTCCATGTACGCAACGTGCAAGACACTGCACCTAGGATATCTCTGCATGCACTCCTCGATAAGGGAATCACTGCTTGTATGTCCTCAACCTTTTGTCGAGAAGACCTGAAGGCCCCTCCACACGGTCATTAACATCGCATCTCGCATTCCGTGCAGTGATCAAATACGGAAGTATTTTAACAGCACCATTTGTCGTCCTGGGTGTTTTTATCGGGTCTCATGGGTAGTGACGGTGAAAACGCTCCCGGGGCGTTACGAGTCGGACGTGATCCATGGCTTCCAGGCCGCTCTAACATAACCCGTCAGTGGACCTCGCCTGACATGAGAATGGCCCCAAGGGTCGATATCAAGACCAACCCATCAACCACCAGGTGGCACTTTTCGGTGCTACTCCACACCGCGATTAGCGAATATCGTCGGGGACGTCAAGCGAGGTATCATCGCTGTCGACCTCAACGCGCAGTACGTGAATATGGAAACCTTGAGACGTCATTAGCGGCATCGATCTAGATGAAGACCACTGGAAATACTAAATCTTGGCGAAGCACCAGAAAGACTAGTTTTAGAAAGGAACACGTCAAACGAATTCATCACCGCAAGCTCATGCACTAGACGACATCGGTGTTGGGTGGTGAACGCAAGCTTCCCAATGCCCCATTCCAATACCCAAGATTGGCCCCTGCGTGTCTACCGTCGAGGCACGGGCGGGCGCAACGGTTTTTGACTCATGCCGAACTCGTGGCTACCCATAACCCTAGCCGGTTGAGTCGGGCCATGAATTTCCCGAGGTTTTGCAGAGTCAGTAGGATCTGAAACGTTTGGTGGATGAGGGAGGCACTGTGGCGTTGGTTTCTCTCGGCTCATGTCAAATTTCACTCTTTTGTTGATTGGGTGGTGGGCGCTGGAAGTATACCGCCGACGTTGACGCATGCGTTGCAAAAATGAACCCAGATCGTGCAAGGCAGAAGGTTCAAGAAGGGTTTAGAGCAGGCAGTGATGGACGGACACAAGCAGCAGGCGGAGACCTACCAAGCAGACGTCGAGGCAAGCCGGGCACCAACGGTGGCAGACCCTGACGACGACGTGTTCGTCACGTACCCCCTGATGAGGCTCACTTTCTACTTGTACGAGCCACCCGCCAAGGCCATGTACAAAATCGTCGGTCCGCTGTTTCTGGTACTGTACCTGATGCTGGTGAGCTGCTACATCAGTCCATACTAGAACTGTGTGATTCTTTTCGTTTTAGCATGCAAAAGGTTTTTATCATGAAATGTACAAACGTTGATGTGCGGGTCATTCGGTCTTCAGCTTCCGGAAAGCTGTAAACAAGTTGTAGACCCACGATGGGGCGGCAAGTGCTTGGCTGCCGGTGAACGAGCGCAGAGGGCCACCGTTACAACGGCGAAGGTTATTTCTATTTCTACCTACGGCATACCGAACTATGTTACTCGTGCCCGGGAAATGCGCCGCTTCGAGGCAATGGCACGTGCATACAATCATACTGATTTCCTCCGTTGCAGCCCAACGAAAGGCGAAACATGACCAAAGGGTGCGGAAAATTCCCTGGCTTTGATTCAAAAATTGCCATCAGATGAATTTCAATGAGTTCTACGGATTGCGTAACATCTGGGACGACGGTTGTCCCAGGGGAAAACGAGACTCGGACTATCTCGCCAACGGGATCGGCATTGCCATTACGGCGGCTTTTGTGGTTCCTGCGATTCGTGCGGACAGAATGAAGTCGCCGTACATCAGGTGGGGTCTTTCGATTGAATACCGTTGTTTGTACGCTACCTACCCTTAGCCAACAACGCTCGAAGTCACGAAAGGTTGGTGTGGTCTCTAAGTAGGACTGGGAATGGCACGTGGCTATTACCGAATGACACAACGTCCTCTCCCGCGTCGCCAAACCCCTGAGCAACCTTTAACATCGCCAGATGCCTTCTCTTTTTCTTTTTCATGTTCGTGAGGATAAGAACCCTTACCTCGCAAGTGGACGGATCGTACCATGGAGCCACCCCAACAAGAGGCAATTTTGTGGTGAACACAACTATGACTGTCCCTGGAGGTGATGAGACACCAACACCAAAGGAAGTCATTCGATGATTTGACGCGCTGCAATCGACGACCCTCGGACTCCCGAACGCAGCTTTACTCGGGATGACTTGACGGCGGTGACCTTTCTGCTAGGGCTTGCGCTGTCTACATCATCGTACTGCCACTGGGCGATATCAGGATGCTTTGTGAGCTTTCTGGTGGTTGTTAGCGCGGTCGTCGCGAGCGTGCGCCACTACTTCAAGTGCAAGCACATGAGGAAAACTGTGGAGCAGCGCCCACCCGTGATGGTGGAGGCTAGCAGCACGGAGGTCAAGGCCACGGTGAGTATCCGCCGTACCCGCTCAGGCAGACCGTTTCATACGGGAACAACTTGAAGCCTTTTGCGGTCGAGAGATACCCTTGCTGGCCCTAGTGTGGATGGAACTGACAGCACGTTTGCACGTTTAGGTAGCAGCCTGACTGACATGTGCAAAAAAGCGGAAAGATGCCTAGAAAAACCATCTCAACATCATCGCACAAGTTTCAGCGGTATCGAAACACTGCCAACGACACGATGTGCCGATTTATTCATGCGCAGATCCTGAGTTTCGCTCGGCAAGCAACTTATGATTTACTACTTTGCCCTGTGTTGGCACGCGGTCAATGTGAAAAGGGCGGAAAACAAGTGCCTATTATTCGAAAATGAAAATGTTCTGACTTTTGGTGTATTCACGCCTGACTGTTGCTGGCTTTCAATTCCTGTTGTCTCGGCAGAGCTCGGAATTCAACATGAGCGAGTGGTTTCATGCGAACGTCAAGGCAAGGGCTTCATGCTGAAGAAGCTTGAGGCAGCGGGCAACCTATTCCGATACGTACCATTCGGCGATTCAAGACCATGATGGCATTTCCGCGAACAGGTCCTGTAAAATAGTTGCACTATCTTGTGCACAACAACAGAGATTGCATGTGTTCATTCAGCCAACTGATTTCGGGGGGCAATCCGCAGATACCCCTCCTTATGGGGAACTGCACCTCTCCCAAGTTGTTCACTAGATCCAACCTGTGAGGCCGCAAGACTGCAGGCATTTGTGTTGTCGTTGCAGGTCCGGCTTGGTGTTGGAGACAGAGAATGGCGACCATTGATGACTGCAAGAGGAAAGACACGCCGCGTGTGGGAGACAAAACTCTTCGCTAGCGAATGACTTAGCATAGTACGAAAAGTCTTGTTTACTGTTTTTGTACGAAAAGCGGTTGACATACATATGTTTGTTTCCCTGGGTGAATGTATCGTTGGGTTATAGCAGAGGAATGGCCCAGCAATACTAGCTGTATTATTAAAGAGTTGCCACCTGAACGCGAGACGGATGCTTTTGTATGTCATGCGGATGGGATCGACCACGAGGGCTGCGTGCATTGAATCGGTATGATAAACATGACGCTCGAGGCTATAGTTGCCGCGCCCGTGACTCTCTCAGTCGTTGATCGGATGACAATGAACTTGAGTCATGCCCTTCCGCAGGAATGCGTTCGAGAAGAACAGCACGCGCGCGTGACAACGAAGCACGTACACGCGCCACCTCGTGGATTCATTGCAATGCACCATAAGTTTTTCACCGGAACTTTTCCCTTGGATTAAGCCGGATCCGCGTTTTCACGGAAACACCAAAGGGCATACCTAAATCATTTCGAACGCTTTCCAGACCATCAGTGCTTTGGTGTTTCTCTTTGAAATTGCTTTGACCATTTTGTACTCGGTGGCTCTTGAAAGGTATCCCCCCGCGCCAGGCGTACCGTGCGATCTTCGCTGTGCATCTTGATAACATGTTTCGCTGGTACTAACACATGGGCGAGGAGGGCGGCCGACGGCGACGAACGACGGAGTGACGGTGGCGCGATGGACGAAAGATGGCGGCCCAAGACCCCCAGAACAATCCAACCCACCCGAATCAATGGCGGCGAACGACGGGGCGACGGCGGTACGATCGACTCGACCTAACGCAGTAACCCAACCCGACCCAACCCGTCCCACGCCTGCCTCACGCAAGCATTCTCTCTGATGTCTCTGTTGCCCTCTGTCCAGGGCAACGCGCCCCCGTATCGTCAAGCCCTGCCCCATCGTCTCACCCTGTCGCGTTTATATTTCCCACGCCACCAGGCTGCACATGTTCGCCGTTCGTCCCATCTTCGGAACGATTTAAGATTGACAATCAATGTCTCCTGGCATGCTGATCGGGAACGGGACACCCGTTGAGTCACTCTTCATGTCGGGTTCCGCCCGAACTACAGTGCTTGGTGGTGGCAGAGATATCACAGCTTCCGTACGTAACTTGTTGGGTCTATGCAGAGCAGAGAAACACGACAACACTCGATTGTTTGCTATTGTCAAAAGCAGCGATTAACTCAGACGTGCTGCTTTCTGTGAAAATCTCGTGAAATCTTGGAAGCAAACACGGCCAAACGGAGGGTTTCTCTCCGATACATCATTTGTTGTCGCCGCAGGAGAGACCTGCAGGAGATGTTAAAGAATTTGCACTCTTGTATCTCCATTAAGATTGATGGGTGGGTGTCGTCGTGCCGGCTGGCATCACTGCATGATGACGGTTCGGAGAAAGTTCGAGGATGTTGACGAGAACGCTTCGTACCCAAAGCGTCGATCGTTCCTTCAACAAAACGTGACCTAGGAGATAATAGTTTGTGTGCAGAAATACGCAAATGCACATGACCTCGTAGGGGTTTTTCTGTCTTTGCGCTGTGCATCGTATATCTGTTTGGCTTGCTTCAGGCGACATCACAGGTTGTGTGCTATTCCCTGACCCCTCTCCCAATGTAGTGCCATTCACCAATGGCTTCTATTTCTTCAAATTTGCAGAAGTATATGCATTCAGATCGTTGTTTCTCGGTACAGTTTTTTTTCAGACGTGCGTGTCGGGTACAGCAGACATATGCATATGACATCTTACGTCGCATCATTTCACTCATCGTGGCCCGACCGCCCCTCGGCCGGTCGCGGAAAATAGCGCGCAAACGTTTTTTGTGTAGAAAGTACTACAGTACGTATGTATAAGTAGGCGAGAGGTTGAATGCAGAGGGCGGCCGGTGTGGCATCATTGTCTCCAAGCCGAGGGAAAAACGATTTTCGTAGATGAAATTGACTGGGTGCTTGTTGGATACACCCATCGGTTGTCCACGACCGTGCCACTTCAGGTCGTTTCTGCTTTCCTTTGCTTCTGATTGCCTTGCAATATACACCATGCAGCCTTGAGAACAACAAAACCAGACCAGCTGATTCACGCAATGAACACTGATCATCCGCATGAGCGTGGACCGCACCATCACACGGCTACCTCGTAACAGAACATGGTTGGGTTTGGAAGCAATGATGAAGCGGCGACGTTATTTTCGATGAAGGCCGGGGGTGTGAGAGCGGGCCTGGAAACCCACCCGACCTTCGAAGTCAATATCAAATCGCTGCCACCCCGGTTAGATAGTTCTCGTAAAACTGCATCACATATCAACATGGAGCAGAGAAAGGCCGTCGGGTCGTGCTCACCACGGTAGCAAAGCGGAAGAGTCGTAAGCGGGCTTCACTCGCAAATGTCTGAAAGCTTACCCTGGTATGGTCCTTGACAATTCGTAGCTTGCTGTGGCCCGGAATATCGTGGTGTCGGCGTGGGATGTCACTGTCTCTACAGGAGAGCGTCCACGGAACAACAATATTGTTCGTTGACTGCTGTGCCGGCTGTGTTTATATGTGTATACACAGCAGTGTAGCGCAGTTGGATGGGTTAGATACAGACGTGGGTGGATGCGGAGAAGGCCGCATGCGAAACGTTCCAAGTATCGATACCTATACTAGACTCTTGGGTAGAGTTGGAGCCCAGCCGAGTTGTGTATCTGTGTCCGATTGGAGTGCAAGACAATTGTTGCTGGATCGTTTGCGCAGAAGCATCTTTTCACTCCCGTACTCAGAGATGCAACAGGCTCCGTGGGGTGCACGACCGGCCGGCTAGGCAGTGTCACAGCCCACGTGGGCATTTTCACAGCAGCAGCAGGTGTACATACATACAGCAGTATCGATCCTCCACACAGCGGTATCCTTCTCAGCCTTGACTGCACTTGATAAAGCCCCTGGGGTATCTCGACGAAGAAGCCAGACTCCACAACCTAAACTGTTCCCCCCGTGTACACCACACACAATTCAGGTGCAATCTCAAGCGTAACATGTGTTTGTTATTGCTGAGGGTGCGGCGAAACCTGATCGAGGGCAGGAGAGAGGGCTTGCAAAGTCAAAAATGGGTCTCGGCGTGATGCCTTGCAAATACCAAAAAAAGGGTCGGCTAATATGCCTCTCGCACGAAGAAGCGTAGCAGGATCTTGTCACCCACAGCAGTGTGTGGGAAGTCATTGGAGAGAAGCGGGACGGACGGACATAAGAGATAGAGCGATGGAGAGCGCAGGGCGTGCGGCAGGAACAGTCGCACCGCAGGGTTTGGCCGTTGAACGCCCAATCCGACATGGCGGCACCCCACGCAAATGTGCAGCCACCAACACCTTCGTGTGTCACAACCGATTTGCCCGCACTTCGCAGCTCCGTTGAGGAAAAGAGGTGCCGGTTCCGCTGTCCTTGCTGTGGAAGACGGTAGGAGAAGATGACCAAGGAGCTATCTACCTCAATGCCACAGTCGTTCAGAGTGTCCTGCTCGAACCCGCAACCACGCCGGAGCAGCTAGAAAAGTACCGGCCACAGGACCTGTTGTTCGAGATGAGGGTCAATGAAGGCCCAATTGCAGGGGGGGAAATAGGCAGCGGAATAAAGAGCGTGGAGGGCGTTCGTGGGTGCGTCATGGTACATGAGACTCTGGAATTGAAGAACATCCCGCTGGATGTTTGTCTACAGAAGAGCTGGTGAGCAACGGGAGGGAGGACATGATGAGATCCTTCGCCTGCCTATGTGTTGTTGTTGTTGTTGGTTGTCTTCACTCTGCTATGTAGAGTAGAAGTGGGACTTAATATAGCTAGCTATTTTGGCTCATGTTGTTGACAAGCAGTAGCAGTTGCAGCAACTGCTGCGTATTGAGCGTGGATCTGGGGTGGCCATCAGTTTTCAGGACAACAGTATGTGCCTGCCTCAATTCAAACCCGAAATCGCGGCAACCCAAAAGCGTGTGGTGGTGACCAGATTTGCAGGGGAGGCAAAGGTAGCATACCAGACCCTCGTAGGAGAGAAGCAGAGCAATGAAGAACTTAGGCGGCATCAGGAGAGAGGGTGCAGAGTGCAGATAATCTCTGTATCATGGGGTCCGCCAACCATCCATGGCCGGAAAAAAAGGCGACGGCCACGTTGGATGAATACGCAGCAGGCACCAGCAGGACACACTGGCTGCACCGTATCATCCCAGATCATGAGGACACCGGTGTGAAAATCATTTCTCTTGGAAATATTGACGAAAAAATTCGTGAGCTTTACGTATGTATACATGAATGCGAGTTGAGTATCGTTCGACATGGTTGTGCGCCGCATGCGGGTCTCCAGCCCTGACAACAGCCAGAGTGAAGAGAAAAGCAACGGCCGTGTGAGACGAACACCAGGCATGTGGCAGCACCGGTACGGCACAAAAGGCTGCCCCGTTTCATCTGCGATCAACAGGACACTGGTGTTGCAAGGATCCCTCTGAACGTGCCGAGTTTTGGTGTAGACGCTACGAGATGCTTGAGTCTTCTACGTGCGAGCATCGGATAGTTTTTTTTTCAAGACTGGCGAAAAGTTTCCGCTGCTCGTTGCTGTTGCTGTGTGTGAAGTAAGTCGTCTTCGTGAATAAAAATGTAGCATTACGCACATCAAGCGTTGTCTCTGGCAGAGAATTGTCCTCCAATGATGGTTGTCGCGTGTATGGCCGGTGCTGATATCAACACACGTACAGGAGAATATACAGCTGCCTACAATTTTAACCCAGAGGTTGCTACATGATGCTCCGAGTCGGCTCCGAGTCGATGTTGCACGGGCACACAACTCTCTACCGTGTTAACACATCCGTTGAATATGGCGATGTCTCGAACCTATAGTCTAGTGTTGTTGCTGCTGTGTTCAACTGTCGTCTATCTGTCTTTCGTCCAGTACCTGTGGCGCATCAATTAGCAAGAGAGACTCGTTATCAGTGTCATTTTCGGTACGAAACGGCAGTAGTCTACACATGCATAGCATACTCTCTAGGGAAATTGGACGGAGTGTCTCATCGGATAAAACGTTCACAGGCGTTAGACATGTGCACTGGTAAACACGGTTGAATGCCGGCAGAAAAGGCAAGCCAATGAAAACGTTTGTTTGCCGTGTTACAATTCTTTTTCAACACATTCACATTTACAAAACCTTGCTGGCATCACATTTCTTCACTTCTTCCAAATCACGAAAGACATTCAGAATAATCTCCGCCATTTTGATTTGATTGTTTTGAAACCGGGGTTCACACTGTCGGAACAGTCGTTTGCGTTGAAAATGCACATGTGCATGTCAACAAACGTTTGCTTGGCGACATTCTTCACTCACCTACTGTAGAGCTCAGGCATCGCTTCGCGCCTATACTAGAGACTTGGCACGCTTAAAGAGACCCTTACCATACCAACGTCCTGTGGGTCTCAGATAAAACAGGGCAGCCTTTTTGTCATACCGGTGCTGTCACATGCCTGTGTGTTCACACGGCCGTTATTTTTTTCTTCATTCTGGCCGTTGCCAGGCCTGAAGACCTGCCACACACAACCATATGTGATCACGCACATATTTTGTCGGACCGCACTCAACTCGCATCTACTTTCTGTATCTGAGCTCACGCAGCTTTTCGCGTCTACACCCAAGACTCAGTACCGTAATTGTGCGTGTTCTGGCACCGGGGTGCGATCGTTTATTAACCATTCCCATGTCGGTTTTTTTGCTGCACCCCGTTGCCCTAACACCGATGGGTACCATGACACCGATACCGATGCGGGAATGCAATTAAATGGTTTCTTCTAGATTTCCAACGCACCCCCGGTGCGATAACACCGATGGGTGCGATGCGGAAGAAGTCACACTGACTGGTCATTTGGCAGTGCTGAGTGAAAACACCCCGGTGCGATGCCACCGGTAGGTGCGACACTCAAGAAACGAACACAGGCGTTTCTGGTATGAGTACCGCAATTGTGCGTGCTACGGTACTTTAATAAAGGCGACTGATGCTGTTCGTGGGTCTGCCAACATTGGTGTTGGATACATGTGCTGGATGATTTTGTGTCACGCCGACTGGTAAGAATGCCGTTCGGTAGGGGGCACCGCGATGATTCACGGGGCCCCTCGCTGCTGAGGTAGCCGCTCTTTGAGCACTCCCTCTTTCGTCCGTGTGAAGCGTCTACCTCTCGTGAACTTAATACATCACCAAAACAGTCTCACCCGAAAAAAAGTGGTGTAGGCCGCAAGCACGCGAGGGAAGCCACATTGGGATGAGCTCTGCTGGAGACGAAGAGAGCACTGCTGCGAGCGGAGAACAGATCCGCCCGCCGGTGCAGGAGGCCCGCGATGCGGAGCTTGCAAGTTTGCAACTACAGACTTCGCAATTGGCGGCCCTGGTGGAGGAGTCGGTGAAGAAGAAGGAGCCTGGCAGCGTCGTGGCGGATGCAGCCAGTAGGGGCGGCTGGGTTGCCGCCCCCGGAGGCCAAGAAGAGCCCATGCAGGAGCTTGGCGGTGGCGGGGAAATTCTCCAGCAGCAAGCGAGAGATGATGGGCAAGGACCACGGCAGCTGCTGGAAGGCGGCTGGGCCAGCAGATCGGGAGCGAACCGTGTTGGACCAGCAGCAGTGGGCCCGGGCATAGGGCCGGACTACGGGGAAGCGAGGGGGTTAAACCCCCCAGGTGAGATACCCGTGATTCGAGGAGATGGAGAATACCTCGACGGCTGCATCCCACCCGAGTACCAGCAAGCGAAGTTAATGTTGGAGACAACAACGGCACTGGATAGGGCCGAGATCGTCAGGATCGTGACCACGGTGCACGCGAGGCTCCCTGAGGGGAGGCAGGCCTCGAAGGGCCAGCGGAGAGCGGAGCACGCTCTCCTCGTGAGCGACGGTAGCGGTGGGGGAGGAGCGCCGGGCCTCGGCAGCGGCGGCAACCAGAAGGGGAGAGAGGGTGGCGTGAAGGCTGGTGGCGGAGGCGGAGGCGGCGGAGGCGGCGATGACGATGCGGGTAGCATGTGCGGTCGCTGTTTCCGGTGCGGCAAGAAGGGCCACCAGGTGGCCGACTGCACCGTGAATAAGCCCATGCGATGTGAGACATGCAAGGGCTACAGACACGACAAGAGCAAGTGCCCGGCCGAGGGGGCGGTGCTCGTGGTGGAAGTGCCGGCGGGGGGGCGTCTGCGAACGCCACAGCACTGGACGTGGCAGAAGAGGTGCTGGTGGTCGGTGGCATCTCAGGTGAGTGTCACAAAGTCGTTGGTCGAGGGGGTGTAGAGAAGGCTAGGCGGGGTAGGTATGTTGCCGATACCGGCGCTACCACCCACATGTTCGCGAAACCAAATAAGTTTGTTCGTTACGAAGAGTGTGATCGACGTGTGCGCGTCGAAGCCGGAGAAACCTTTTTCCCCATCGTGGGGTACGGCGACGTGACGGTAACCCTTAGCTCGCGCGACAGTACAACCGACCTGTTGTTGAAACGGGTTGCACACGTTCCCCGACTAGATTACAACCTAGTATCTCTCACTTCCCTCGTCGACGAGGGGTTCGAAACCAAAAACCTCAATAAACACGAGTTGGAATTGGAGAGAGGGGGGGGAGCCGGTGTACTTCCCCCGATGCGGTAACCTGTACGTCCATAACGGTTTCCGCACACACACCGAACATGCCTGTGCCGCAATTGCTCCTGGCAACGCGAAAGCGCCCAGCACCCCCGTTGACATCAACGATTTCCACTGCGCGCACGGCCACTCCCACGAGGTGCTGCTGAGGACCACGGCGAAGCAGCAAGGGACGACGCTGGTGGGCGAGCTCCGGGAGTGCCTGGGGTGCTCGACGGCGAAGGGGCTTAGCTAACCCATCCCCAACAAAACGTCGACCCGAGCAGCTAAGAAGCTGCAGCGAGTTTTCGTGGATTTGAGTGGAAAAGCTAGGGTGCAGAGTTTGGGGGGGAAGTGGTACACTCTCATTGTCAAGGATGGTTACACAAGGTGGAACCCTGTCTGTTTCCTGAAGCGCAAATCAGACGCAGTTGAGGCATTCGAGAGATCTGACAACCGAGGAGAATGTATTGAGGGAGAGTTCGGCAGGGTGTGCCGGAAGTACTGCATCAAACAGGAGTTCACCCCCGCGCACAGCCCAGAATACAACGGTGTAGCTGAGAGAGCACTGGGTCTGATCAAGGATGCAGCACTAGCCGCCCGTATCCAAGCACCAACTCTTTACCCCGGAGCACCGAACTACCCATCCCTTTGGGCCGAGGCCATAGCTAGGGCATACAACACCCTGAACTGCACCTCCACCACATCCAACCCAGAGAAGAAATTGCCGTATGAGATGTGGCACGGGCACCCTCCCCCGCCGGGGGCGACGTACCCGTTCCTCAAGCCTGCCGTATACAAGGTCAAGCGCACACACAAGTCCGAGCCAAAAGCCCAAAAGTGTTTTTACCTCGGCCCGGGAATCAACACCAACCGTGATTGCGTGCGCATCCTCAACGAAAAACGCCGAGCGATCACAACTCGCAACTTCACCTGGCAATCCGTGCCCGCCGCCCCCGCCGCCCTGCCCCAGTCGCTGCATCCCATCGCACAGGAGGAAGAGGAATTCGCGACTGGGGAGGACGAGGTTGGGGAGGGCGCGTCGAACCAAGGTGGAGGGAGGGCNAAGGTCAAGCGTACGCACAAGTCCGAGCCGAAAGTCCAAAAGTGTTTTTACCTCGGCCCGGGAATCAACACCAACCGTGATTGCGTGCGCATCCTCAACGAAAAACGCCGAGCGATCACAACTCGCAACTTCACCTGGCAATCCGTGCCCGCCGCCCCCGCCGCCCTGCCCCAGTCGCTGCCTCCCATCGCAGAGGAGGAAGAGGAATTCGCGACTGGGGAGGACGAGGTTGGGGAGGGCGCGTCGAGCTAAGGTCGAGGGAGGGCGGAGGGAGAACCTGTGGATGGAGGAACAGGTTTCAACCTTGGCACGACGGCAGCCCTGGGGCCCGCGGGGCCGGCCGCGCGCGTAGCACCGGCGGCGCCGCCGGCCGCGCCCCAGGAGCCGGGCGCGGGCGACGCCGGTGATGGCGCCCCCTCGAGCAGGGAGGGCGCGAGCGTCGCCCCATCTACCACGTCGACCGGCACGGCCGATGTGGGCGGCGGCGAGGACGACCGCCGCAGCAGCAGCAGCCGCGGTAGCGGCGGCAGCGGCGATGACAGCAGCAGCGGCGGCAGCAGCGGCGATGACGGCGGCACCTACAGCAGCAGCGGCAGCAACAGCGAGACGGACCTCCCGGCGCTCCGTGGGCCAGAGGCCCAGCGGCTCGCCCGCTTCGACAAGCCGGCGGAACTCACCAGCCGCCGCACCAGGGAGAACCCTCGCCGAAACCCGAGGTACGAGTCGCCCCCGTCGCCGACAAGTGCCGAAGCCCTGCTCCCCTCGGTGGCGAGCCTGCCCGTCAGCAGCACTGAGGAGTTCACCCGCTGGATGCTCTCGGCGGTACTTCACGTGGCGGAAGGGCTAGAGGCGAGGGCGGTGCGAGAGTTGCTGTTCGAGCGCGCGGAGGAGGCCCACGCTGCGCGCCAAGAGTCGGAGGACTTCCTGCTGCGTGCGGTGGACCTGATGCTCAACTCTCCAGACGCCTTCGAGACGGCTCTGGCGTCCCACTAGCTAAGTGAATCCTCCATTGGCAAGCGTCCGAGTGATGTAGAACCCCGCCCCATGACCGTAGCCGGCGTTGTCAAGTCTGTGTACAGTGAGGGGTGGGAACAGGCCATGAGGGAAGAATTTGAAGGGCACTTGGGCATGGGGACGTTTTCATTCGTAGACGGCGCGCCAGAGGGGCGCAAGCCTGTGATTTCAAAGTGGTGTTTTAGTTGGAAGACCAACAAGGAAGGGAAGATAGAAAGTTCAAAGCGCGTCTGGTTGCTAGGGGGCTTTCGCAAATCCCGAACGTCGATTATTTCCATTCCTCTTCCCCTCGCCCATCATCCGCATCCATTAAACTGATGCTTGCGGAAGCGAACGAGAAGGGCATGAACCTCATTCACTGGGATGTGAAGCATGCCTACATCCACGCCACGCTAGACGAGGAGTTTTTTCTGAGGCTCCCCGCTGGGTGCGGGGACAAATCGCATAAGATCGTTGAGGCTGAGCGTGCGATTTACGGTCTGAAGCAAAGCGGTAGGCAGTGGGGGTACCACGCTGCTGATACGCTAGTCGAGAACGGGTTCGAGCAGTGCAAGGCGGAACCGTGTGTTTTCCGCAATATGGTAGACGAAGTCGTGGTGATGATTATCGTGATCTACGTGGATGACATTTTGGGGCTGGGTCTGACGAGGATTGCAAGGAGTTTCTTGCTTCTCTCAACAAGAAATTCCCCACCAAAATCTGGGAGAGTGCGAATGGTTGGACGGGTGCGCCATTGAGAGAGATGTAGTGGCCGGGACACTTAAAATCTCGCAAACCCCGTACATTGACAGTATGGTGAAACGCTTTGATGTACAATCGACCTCCCGCATCCCTGCTTCCCTTGGTGTCGACCTAGGACCGAAGTAAGATGACGAGAACGGAGGGGAGTGGCCGGTGAGGAAGGCCATCGGCAGCATGATGTGGGTGTCAACGTTCTCGCGTCCAGACGTCTCGTTCGCCGTGCGTGCGGTAGCGCGCCACGCCCACGCCCCGGCGAAGAGGCACTGGGATGCCATCCGGGAGATCCTCGGCTACGAGGGACCTCGGCATCACCTACAAACGGGGATCGGGGTTAGGGCTGGCCGTGTACGTAGACGCTAGCTACGCCGACACGGAGGATAAGCGTTCGGTGTCAGGGTTGGCGACGACGGTTGGAGGTACCGTTATCAGCCATGGTAGCAAAACACAGAGCATCGTGTCTTTGTCATCGACGGAAGCCGAATACATTGCTGCCGGGGATGGCGCCAAGGAGGCGTTGTTTGTGCGTGCGGTACTTTCGTTTGTTGCCCCAGAGACACGTGGTAGCAGCATCCAGGTTTGAGAACAACAAGGGGGCCATAGCGTTGATGCAGAACCCCCTCAGCTCAGGTCGCACGAAACACATCGACGTGAGATTTCATTTCATCCGCGGATTGTTTAGGTCGGGGGATATTTCGGTCAAGTTCGTGCCGACAACGGAGCAACACGCGGACCTCCTGACCAAGGCCCTTAGCAGGGCTAGTCTGCAGTACCACCGGCGCAAGCTGATGAATTTGCCGGAGTTTCAAGCACTTGGGAGAGGTCATGTTGTCCACGCGGGGAAAGGCGTACAACTGTTGCGGTCTGTGTACCAATGGCAGGAGTAGGGGACGTTGGGAGACCATCCATGCGGGGAAACGTAGTTCATCGCGTTCTTGTCTTCGCCTTGGCCTTTCTAAAAAGTGCGGCCGTTGTGATCCGCCGCGATAGCGACGGTTTTTGTGGTGGTAGGGTTTTGTCGTTGGGTTTTGCCCGGACGCCGGGTTTCCCCTCCATGTACTACCATGTTGGTATTTTCTGATGTATCCAGGGGCGTTCTTGCCCCATNCATGCGGGGAAACGTAGTTCATCGCGTTCTTGTCTTCGCCTTGGCCTTTCTAAAAAGTGCGGCCGTTGTGATCCGCCGCGATAGCGACGGTTTTTGTGGTGGTAGGGTTTTGTCGTTGGGTTTTGCCCGGACGCCGGGTTTCCCCTCCATGTACTACCATGTTGGTATTTTCTGATGTATCCAGGGGCGTTCTTGCCCCATTGATGGTTAGTCAGTTGCGTGAAGAACTAGGGAGGGTGTTCGTGGGTCTGCCAACATTGGTGTTGGATACATGCTGGATGATTTGGTGTCACGCAGACTGGTAAGATTGCCGTTTGGTAAGGGGCACCGCGATGATTCACGGGGCCCCTCCTTGCTGTGGTAGCCGCGCTATGGGCAACCCCTCTTTCGTCCGTGTGAACGACGGTCGTCTACCTTTCGTGAAGTTCAAGCATCACCAAAACAGTCTCACCTGATAAATAAGTGGCGTAGGCCGCAAACAGATGCTACATGTAGTTTGGGGTAGACAGACGCTGTGTGTGGCGCTTTGGCTCCCTGCTGCGAAAGGTATACGGTACGGTATCAATATCTTCCAGCCTCTTTTTTGGTGGCAAGCCCCTCATTTGTTGGCCGGTGTTTCCATCTTTGTCTGCCTCAAGGGGCATGCTACCGGTGCAATTGTAGTAGCGTTTCGATCTCCTTTTTCTTGTTCGATTGGTTGGAGGGGGGGATGTGTTCTGTGTGCTTGATTGAATGGCAGTGCATTCCATGTACGGATTGCCGTAGAAAAAACATGAATGATTTTGTACCGCACCTCGACGGTACGATATACACTCATGAAAGGAATGACAATTGGTACCTACCGGACCCTCTCAGCCGTTCGTTACATACAGTTCGACACGTGGCCCGAGGGTAACGGTACCTTGCGGAAGCACGCAAGTTTACGTCCTAAGCAGGTTTTATATCGCAGATATCGCACCGGGTGCGTTTACATCGATACCGTTGCGGAGATGCAATTATATCATGCCGTTCTCGATATTGTTGCGCACCCCGGTGCCATAACACCGATGGGTGCGAAATCAACTATGGGTGCCATAACACGCACGATTACGGTATTTCCAGGCAGATGCTTCCCACACCAGTGTCCTTATGATCTGGGATAACATGGTGCAGCCAGTGTATTGATAGTGGTGCTGTCACTGCATTGCCTGCTGCAAGCCTGTTCTACTCTGTCTTACGAAAAATAATCTCTCACAATTCCAGCTTTCGCTCTTAATTCCAATAAAGCATTGTACTTGGAAGAATCTCTGTATCTATTGCTATTCTGGACTTTTCCTGAGAAAGTTCCTGAGAACCGTTCTAGGAAACATTCTATGGACCGTTCCGGAATCTACCGCATCCATCAGGGATCGTTCTAGATACTTTCCTGAAATATTTCTGTTCTCAAGGTGAAGTTACTTGCCTCAATAGCTTATTGTACCGCGTTTACATTGCGCCATGTCACCTACGCTGGAACCGGTATTGTTTCGTGCTACTGAAATCGCTCATGAATGTATGTGACATAATCGTATCCTGCTGTGTAGTATTCAGGAGAATACCTAAATCAGCAGTCCTTGTCTCTATCAGTTGATACTGATGTTGTTTACACTGTTGGTTTGTGTGCATCTAATCTCGCTCGAGATGGCGAAATAATGCAATCAACAAAGCGTTTCTCTCCTCCTCTCGCCTCCGTCGATAGCCAAAACCAGCAGCAGTAGCAGCAGCAGCACCAGCAGCAGTATTTACATATAGTATAGGCCACACCTCTCCTCCGTGGCATGTGTCACTGTCAGCAGCGGCAGAGAGAAACTGGTTCCAAATAAATGACGCCTCCTCCTCGGTCTCGGGAACGCATGATTCCGAAACGTATGCAGATAGGGCCTGGAGGTAAGAAACGTCAAAATCGGGTCGATCCTCGATTCCTTACTCTGGGCAGAAGGACCAGCCGAAGTCGGCCAATTTCTTAAGACGGATTTCTTATTCCTTTGGGCTGTCGCATCCCCTGATTCTCTTACTTTCCTATTTCTGATGGCGAAGAAAACAACAACACATCAATCCTTCATGCAGCACTAAACCAACATCTCGGTGTGGTGAACATTGGGGGTTGTGGCAGCACAAAGTGCAGCAGCAATAGGTGGCGCAGCCCGCGGCGGCGCTGGGGCGCGGGGGGCGCGCGAAAATGACCACTCTCTGCCCCTACCAAAAATGGCAGCTGCAGCGGCACCAGCAGCAGCACCAGCGGTGGGACGTTTTCTTTGGACACGCTCCCTCAGCTTCTGCCCCTTGTTTCTTTTGGCTTGGGGTATCACACGATCATGTTTCTTTTTGGGGCGTTTCTAATGTTGTGGCCGAGATTGAGCTGTGTTGCTTAGGCCTATTTTCTTCTTTTCCGTGAAAAATTGAGCCTTTTTGTCTTCACAGAATTTTCTCAACTGCCGGCCCCACCTGTATGTGTTCAGCAAACATGCGTTCGTAACTCGATGCACCGAGTACGGATTGAGCGGGAAGCAGTTGCGACAGGTCGGCAACATTTTACCTGTTGGGCACAAGTCTAACATTGCAATTGGTGCCTGGACTACTAGATGGTGAAATAGGCTTCAGTCTTGTGGGTTTCTATCTTCACACCCCCTCTGTCAACCTTTCTGGTTTTTGCGCTCACACATGAACATCACGATCTCTCTAAACAGTTCTTTTCTTGCAACAGAAAAACGCACCCTAATCGGCGGGCCTCCAAAAAGCTAGTACAACCCTTTCCGGTCGCCGCTCAGTGTAGGAGGGTTAAAGGTGCTTTTCAGCTCTTCATCGCCAACATTATTGAAACGACTCCACCACTCTTTATACATAGTCTTGTTGCCACGTGTTTGTTCAGGAGATCATCGGCAGTTGCATATTTCCCAACAATTCCACCATTATTGCCTTGAATTGAACTGAAGTGAAAAATGATCAAATCCTCCATCGCTTGTGCCTGCACGAACCACAATCTGTCGGGGTTGATGTGGCGCTTGCGTCCTACACTCACGTGGTGGTGACATGTACATGCCAGGTTTCCGTTTCGTGTCTTCAAAGCGACGATCGACCTAGAGCTTCAGCCGAAGATGATCGACGTCACCGAAGGGAAGAAAATGATATATCCGGACCTCTGCATGAGCTACAAGAACGGAGTTGCGAGCGTGCAGACAGCAGTCGATCGAGCGTGCTGACATTTGTGAGCGAGCAACCTATCGTCCAGGTGCGTCCTAGTCATCGCGTCTACAGGAAGATATCCATGTAGGGACTCCTCGATGAGTGAAGCACTGCTGTGCGTGACCAAAAAAAGGTAACGTTGTGGACGACGCGGAGACCATGCCACAGAAATACGATAGAAACTGCAACGACCTCTTCATGGCCCGACGGCAGGAGTCTCGGAGAAGGCCCTCGATGAATTGAGCCTCTGCACGCATCCGACCGCGCACCAAATTATTTTCTCGGAATCCTTGCCGTGATCCTGGGCGGATCCTGGGCGGTTCCTCGCCGGTTAGTCGGGTCTCACGTGTCGGGTCGGGTCTACATCGATGGGAACTTTCCCAGGTTGTATCCTACGCTTGACAAGCCATTTTCATGGATCAATCTAGCATGCCCCCGGCCTAACCGTGAGGTTGACCCTAGAGCAGATTTCAAAACCACTGCAATACCCGTGATCAAAATGTTTCGAGATAGAATATTTTATCGGTTAATTCAATCGGGGTTTTTAGCCGTTCGCGTTAACGAGCAGAATTTCGTAATACAACAATGCGAATACCCCATGTCGTCTGAGATGACGACCATTGGCCAATAGTTAATCTTTGCGAAAATTTCAGTCAGAGGTGAGTCCCGCGAAAGAAAAAGGAGAGGAATGAGAAAATACTCATGGGCGAAGGAGCATGAGAAATACCCAACAACGTATTGAATGCTGGACCCAAGCTTGCAACCCTCGCCCCATCTCTGTCCCCTGCCTGAGTCATGCGTGTCTGCTGCCGACGCTCGAATAATCGAACTGGCGCGATGTCTTCAACCCATGGCTCATGAAACTCGCTGAGTAATCTCACGAGCCGGGTCAGTTCCAATTGAAAATACAATGGACGGGTCGAGTTGGGCTAGAATTTGCACGAGGTCGTGATGGGTAGAGCCAGAAGAGTCTGAAACGTTTTCAAGTCCGAGACGTTTTGCGGATGAGATCGGGGCCCTTGTAGGGTTGATTTCATCCGATGCATAAAGTTTTGTGTCACTTCGTGCGCTGGAGGTATTTACCGCCGACGCTGCCGCGTGCGTGTCAAAAATATCCTCAGCTCGTGCAAGAGACGAGGCTTAAGAAGGGGTTAGCGCAGGAAGTGAAGGACGGACACAATCAGCAGGTGGAGACCTACCAAGAAGACGTCAAGACAGGCCGCAGGCCAAGCGTGGACAATCCCGACGACAATTTGTTCGTCACATGCCCCCGGATGAGGCTCGTATTCTAATTGTACGAGCCGGTACTCGACGTCCTGTTCAAAATCGCCGTTCCACTGTTTCTGGTGCTCATGCTGATGTTGGTAAGCCGCTGCAGTTGACACTAGAGCAGAACCTTAGTTCAAACTTCAAAAGGATGACAAGCGCGTAATGTTCGTAGCACAACGGTCTACAGCTTGGTGAAAGTCGCATCACAAGCTACGGACCTGTGATGGGTACGGCATGTCCCCCTGTCGGCGAATGACTTGGATCGGCCGCCGCGAAATTAGCAACAGCGATTTCCGTCTCCGCAGTATGGCATTCCCGAAGAATGACACCCAAGCCTGGAAAATCACGCAGCCAATTGAGATAATGGCGTGTGCTTCCCATCATATTGATCTCCTTCATTCTAGCCAACCCAATCAATGGTAATAGACCAAGTCGTGCGGAACACATCTTGACCTTGTTTCACGCATTGTCGTCAGATGAACTTCGACCAGTCCCACGGATCCCTTGACAACTTGGTCACTTGTCCTAGCGAGGAACCAGACCCAAACTATCTCGCCAACGCCAATGGCACTGCTATCACTGCGGCGTTCGCGGTCCCTGAGCTTGCATGTAGGAAGGAGTTAGTGAGATCGCCGACTATCAGGTGGGGCTCTGAACGCACCAATAGTTTGTTCGTTTCTCTGGGCCAAACCACATTTGGAGCACCCAATGGCGACGCGACCAAAGGATGCAGGGCTACCTCTCCCTGTGCACATGCCGTCAGATTGCCCGTGGTGTTTATCATATATGGTAGTGGAATGTCTTGTACGCGGGGTGGAAAACCTACACTCCGCACAAAGGGAATGATCACCACGAAGTGTGAAAAGGCTCACGTCAACACGAGGCATTTGTGCTTCTGTGTATACGCATTGGTTGTCTCTGGATGTGGTGAGACCAACACCGACGAACAGTCGCCCGAAAGCTATTGTAAGTTTTTTTGCAAGAAAGTACGCACAACAATACTTCCAGAGCAATCTCTGGTGAAAAGCACCTTCATCCTTCAAGAGGTTCGCAGAAGATCACCATGGCGCTTCACAATTCTTGGCAACCCCGTCAGTCGTTTCGTGAAGTCCGGTACGCTCTATCCTGACTGTACACAGTGATCTATCGAATACACCATGCATGGTCATGACCACACCATCCTCCTCCACGCGACTCTGGCATTAACTCCATATTTGACACGCTGAAACGAACGCACCGCTGGCTCCCGAACGCAGGTGGTGCTCGTTGTTCTCTCTGAACGAATTCATGCCGGCGATCTTTCGTTTAGGGCTTGTATTGGCTACGTGGCAGAAATGCCACGCGGCGCCTGTAGGAATCCTGCTTAACTGCGCGGTGCTTACGAACATGGTCGTCGGCGCTCTACTCCAGTTGTACACTCGCTGGAAACTGATTAAGGAAACTTCGACGAGCGTCCCGAAAGTCGTGGAAGCTAGTAAAAAAGTGGGTCAGGGCCACGGTAGGCGCCGGGCGTGTGCATTTCATCCAGACAGAGATCGTTTGATTCGGGGATAACCTGAATCCTTACGGTCGCTTGTCTTTGCTGATACCTGTGTCGATGGCGCTAACACGCACGATGGTACGTTTGGGTGCATGCTTCAGCGTGATTTTGCTTGCAAAATAGCGGACGTGCCGCGTTGGAAGAACATCGCAATATCATTGCATCTTGCCGAGACACGTGGTTCCCCTTTGTGCATGCGTATGTGCATGAGACGATCCCTGAGTTTCACTTGGGAATACGACTTGTTATTCGTGGCATTGCGAGGTGATCGCACTCGATAATTTCGAAAACGGGAGCAGTGCCTTCTGCTCGAACTTGAAGGAAATGGTTCTGCTCTTGGTTGCGTCCACACGTATTTCTGGCTCACACAACCTTTTGATTCCCCAGGTCTCGAACTTCGACATTGACAGGTGGCGCCGAGCGAGCGTTAAGGGTTCATGCTGAGCATGATTATGGCCTTGTAGTGCCTCTTCCGGCCATGAGTGGCATTTACCGGCCATCACGCAGAGCACAAAACGTTTTTGTTCGCGCGAAGAGAGGCCCCGTGAAAAGTTGTACCTTTTGGTATTTGCACCAGAGGTTGCGTGTGTTCAACTAAATAGTGAGAGGCGGCCTAACGTTGTCGCGGGGCAAGGCGCAGAAAACGCCCTCTACGGGGTTGTACTCCGCGCAATTCTGACACTAGATGCAACCGGCGATGCTGCACTCCACCTACACGTTTTGTTGAGGTGGCAGACCACGTTTGGTAACAGGGGTTGCTGGACGGAGAATCTCGACAATTTTTGGCCGCTAAAGGACACACACGACGCATAGGGAGACAGCAGTCTCTGCCAGGGAAGGATTTCCGCGTAAAATAGCTGTCGATGTTGGGGGATTTTTTATGTACTTGGCAAGCTTGGTTTTTCCGCGGCACGCGTCAAGGCGTTTTGATCGTAGTCTGGTTGCTGTAGCATAACTTAAGGACAAAGTGGTCATATGAAAGTACCGGCGGATGCGTCTGTGTGTGTGTGTCTTCCCGTTTTTCATGGGGGTCAAGGTTCACGGTTTTCTGTATTTTGTGGACGCATCAGCTGGGATCACACAGCACGAGGAAGGGCAATGATTTTCGGTGTATTGTATCAACCTTGCTTCTGCGGAAATCGTCTAACGTTGTTTCGTGTGAAGGAATACGCCGTTTGTTCTCCCCGTGGACGGTGCAGTCGAAGCTATACTTGTAGGCGCGATACACAAATCGCTCTTTCCATACCTTGGTCATCAATATCCAAGTTCGATTGACTGCGCCGAGGTTCGAATGCGCGTCCCGGCTGAAGGTTGAAGGTTGCCTTTGTAGCTGCCAACGGAACGACTTAGTCACTGTTATGTGCTCAATCAACGGGTGTCCGTTCGGGAAATTCCAAATGTAAGGGGACTGAAAACTGGAGATGTCGAGGGAAGTAAACCACGGGGTCAGCCGAAAATTCCCGATATGTCTTCGGACCTGCAGCCTCGTGTAGGTGTTCAGCTGCGCGCACCCTCAACGACTCGTTGCGGAACACTACCGCTGTGGAAGCACAGTAACAGCAGCGGCGGTGCATCACCACCATGCGGTGATGAACACTGTCGTTGAGAAATCAATATGGGCGGTGACGTCCACGGACGCTCGAAAGGCGTGCGCCGCCGACCACGTGTGCGTCCATGCTGGCAGCGTCTGATACCTCCCTTTTCGTTGTCACTGGGTCGTCAGCGCCTGGGAGGTAAGCATCTCATCACCCTAAGCTATATTGCTAGGAACGTCGTCGTCGTCAACAATTGCAGACTGTAAGTATGAAGCACAATTCAGAATGTTATTTTTGTTTTACTGAAAAAACTCCATCTCCATGTGTACATGTACATACTGCTAGTTCAGAACGATTCGTAACATGACCTGCACCTGTGCATACGACATGATATGACGATGGATGCAGTCCTAAATATGAACGACACGCCGTAGATCCGCGGACTTTCCGTCGCGTCTTCACGATGACGAATGTTCACGACACACCTCACTCGACGCGACGCACACACAACGTTGTATTGCGGATTATGTGTGCCTTGTGCCTCTCACCGACATTCTGGACAGATACAAGGTTTACAATCAATTGGCGCCACGATACATAGGCTACCTCTGTGCCTTGAAAGCTCGCACGATACGTCCCGTTTCCATGTTTCACCACAACGATCGGACGCTCTGTTGTATTCGGATACGAATCGAAGCGCTGCTGCTGCTGTGGTGCTAGGCTGCTTTGTAAAAACCCTCTCGCTGGAAGCTGCCAATAGTGGCAATTGCACTAAAGGTGTGCGCGTAGGCGTGCGACTGCTGTGCCGCCCCTGCTGCGGAGTATGCCTGCCCTCCTACATGGTAATCAGATCACCGCAGGCCTACGCATGCATGCACGTAGGTTCTTATGCGATTTTGCCAGGGAGTGTCTACTCCGGTGTGGTGGTGACCTCAAATCAAACAAATCAAACAACACGCCCTCGGATTTCTCGGAGATTTCGGAGAACATCACTTCATGCAGAAGAAACTATTCGACGCAATTTTCTACTCGAACTGTACATTTAGAGACCCCGGTTGGGTCGTCTAGCTAGTAGTGGAGGATAGGGGCCAGAGGGGCAGACGACAGAGTCCAATGATGGGAGAAAAAAACACTATATATATGTAATGTATTCCATACATTCTCAGATCTCCGACTACATACCCGAATCTCTCAAATTGATCAGATCGCCTACAACCTGTGACCGACAACTGCGTTACGGTCTTACGACGACGACATGCTTTCCAAATGCATGTGAGTACATCTGATTTCTCGGAATTGTCATACGTGTAGATTCCGACGACTTCGATCCACCAAACAAACACGCGAAGACACCCCATAATTGTTAGACGCCGGCGTGCACAACGCACCATCCGACAGTACATTTTTTTCTGCTGTTGCTGCTGCGTACGTGTACATCGATCTCCTCCATTTAACAAATGTTTGTAGCTTCCATGGAAGTAGCCTTCCTTGGAAGTATTATTGAATTCCACGGAGGTCGTGTAAAGAAAGCGGTCTACCCACTAGACTACTTAGTCGCGCGACTAAGTAGTCTAGTGGGTAGACCGCTTTCTTTACAAAGATATGCTTTGTGGGTTCACCGGCAGGCATCTCCGAGGTCTCCTACCCCTCGCCGCGCACTCCTGAAGTCCTAGGCCTGACCAAGACTTTCCCTTGCCGCGCGACTAAGTAGTCTAGTGGGTAGACCGCTTTCTTTACAGGTCGATGTCTTTAACTTCTATGGAAGCTCGCAAATGACTGCCATGAAAGTGTGGGCCGTGGAAGTTACATAGCGGGGGCTTCCCGTGCAACTTCAACTTCTAGGGAAGTTGTTTGTGGATGTCATCTAGCTTGCATGGAAGTCGCTTGGTGCGCTTCCATTTTCGACTTATTTCATGGATGTAGATGAAAGTAGGCCATATTCGGACAGCCTTCATGGAAGCACAATATTTGACTTCCATGGAAGCATCATCGCCCTACTTCAATGGCCACTTTATGATGTAGTCTCGATCCTGCGGCAGCGAAGACCAGCAGCGGGGAAGTGCTTTCCCAGTTGATGGGCCTGGAGCTCGCCGCGTGTGCGGACATAGCATTCCGCTGGGTGGTTTAGGTTCGGGTTTTGCTTTGGTTTAGGGTCTATTCGGGGTTCCTGCTTCCTCAGTTGGTTTAGGTAGATGTGTGGTGTGGTTCACCCTTGGTTGGTCGATCGTGCTCTGTATATCAGGACGGGAGTTTTGGTGTTTACGTCGTCTGCCCGTGACGTCAACTTCAAACACTTCCATGCAAGTGCTTGGACTGGATTTCATGGAAGTTGCCGAGTTTCCACGGAAGGATAACGAGTTTCCACGGATTCGCGGCGAGCTTCCGTGGGCTTCCATGGAAACTGTGAGCGACCTCCAGGGAGATGATTTTGACTTTCCTTGGAAGCGTATACAATATGCCAAATAATGTAGGTTACGTACCAGTGTCCATGGAACCGTAGAAAAAAACAATAAATTGAAGCGACAGACAGGGTTAACAATACCATGTGTTCTCACGTCGCCTCAAGGACTCTATACCCACTGTGTTAATACACAAAAGAAACCTTGTGCCATATTGTATCTGGATGACTTCCTGTCCAGTGGCGATATGTTGCCGGGCCCGCCGCCCCGCGCATTCACGGCGGGGGACCCCCGCCAAGTGCCCTACAATAGTTCGTGTATACAGGCCGTAACATTGCCTCCGTGTCTCTCGTATTATTGCATGTCTGATATGCATAGTCTATTATCAGACATATTATGACATATTAATACTACTTTATAGTATTATAATAACAATAATAATAATTATCAATAATAATAATAATAATAATTATTATTATTATTATTATTATTAATTTTTTTTTATTTTTTCCCATCATTGGACTCTGTCGTCTGCTCCTCTGGCCCCCATCCTCCACTTCTACTAGCTGGACAACCCAACCGGGGTCACACAGGAGGGGGGGTTGGAACCCCTCCTGCGGTTGCTGCCTGAGATATTTTAATCGCGAGAAGGGTACAGCAATCCATATATATATATATATATATTTTTTTTTTCTCCCATCATTGGACTCTGGCGTCTGCCCCTCTTGCCCCTATCCTCCACTCCTACCAGAGACGACCCAACCGGGGTCTCATAGGAGGGGGGGGTTGGACCCCCTCCTGCGGTTCCTGCCTGAGATATTTTTTTCGCGAGAAGGACACAGCAATCCCTTCCCTCGCGACTTACGAAGTCGATCAAGTTTACTAACAACGAGCATCGCAGCGCGTCGCTTCCAACGGAGACCAGGATTTAATTTATGTGCATACGCGNATCGCAGCGCGTCGCTTCCAACGGAGACCAGGATTTAATTTATGTGCATACGCGTATGTACGTATGCAAATTACCATTTCATCAGACGAATCGTCCAAGGAATCGCCTTCCCCTCGTCGTTTTGAGCTTGTCAACTCGGACTCGGAGGGAGATGGCGCTTGCTCGTCGGAAGATGAGCCCCTCTTCAAGTTCCCGGATCGCGGTGGTGAGTATTTGCAGAGCGTTGGATAGCCTTTGAGGCTGTTGTTGCTGTTTTCCATTTCCAAACGCCGGTTGCTGATCGCGGTAAGTGTGGATTTGAAAAATCTGGGCGGAGAGGACGTCCGGCACACAACGGTCGGTCATCACCTTGGACTCGCTCTAATCTGGCCGCCAATTTGAACAGAGGGTTGAGCCATGATAGAAGTAGCTCTTCCAGCTGCAGAAGGGCCCACGGAAGCTCACTATTTCGAGCTGTCTCCTCGCTTGTTGGCGTATCCAATGAACCCGGTTATGCTGCAAGACTTCGGAAGTCGTCATTTCTCACCACATGTACCAAAAAATGTTGTGGTTCATGTGCTATGATTGAACTGGCTATCCGCTTTCAAAAAACGGCGCAAACTCCTCCAGTCGTAGTACAGTAGTACCTGCTGCGCGCATTTGGTCGACTGAAGACCACAAGCATTGCTGCGAACCTCCGCCCTACTTCACCTCGATTGTCCAAGGCGCGATGCTCCTTGGCTGAGTTACACGTAATGTGCCTGAATGAGGTGCACAGCCCCAATCTGCGTCGAGACGCACCGCCGAGCCCACCGTGAGGGCCGGCGACTTGGCGTAGTAGGTGATCTTGTAGGACAATGTGGTCGATGGCTCCTGCCTCGTTTCTGCTCATAGGGTGTGCGTCGTGACGCACCCTGACGTCGTCACCATGCCTGACATTGCCATTCCCAACCTCGTGGTCACCTCGCAGTAGATAACAGCCTTGCTCAACTGCTCTACGAAGTCAGCCTGCCAGAGCGCGGAATCTGCCATTTGTTTTAGTTGGGCCGCGCGGGACTGTGTACTACAAAATTGCCCACCAATCATAATCAACGTTTTGGCTACCTCCGCTCTCTTTTCTTCCCTGTTCGGACGTTCGGACCCAACATGTCAGCATGCCAGCGCTGAGGTGAGTGTTCCACACGCGCCACCAACCGACTCAACCCCCCTTTCCTTGGTGACCATGGCTGTGCATTCTCGGGGGGTGCTAACGACCGAAGCAGTGGAAGCCGACGTGGAATTGACGGGTGTCGGTGCCTTATTAGCAGGCGAAGAGGACGACGATGCGCCGCTCCTTCGGAACTACGACATGGCTACACCTGCCGTTGGTGCTGCTGCTTCACCTGGTGTACACCCCCTGCCCAGTTCCTCTTACACCCGAGACAGCCACAGCTGGGCGTCGAAGCTGATGTTCTCCTGGGTTGATCCTGTGCTTGAGAAGGTCAGTATTTTCCGCTGTGTTGTTGAATCTGTGCGCGAGTGTTTCGTGTTGGAGATCGTGCCTGTTGCTCCCTTGGAGGGAGGGCCCGTTGCGTTGGCCGATCTACAGCAGTACATGCATGCATGTGCGATCTGGACTTGGGAACAAAAGTACACCGACATTGCACACGGGTGCAGCTTTGAGGTATTAGGCGGTTTCTTATAACGTTCGGAAATGCAGTTCAAAAATGTGAATTTCCAAATTCGGACCAAAAACTGTTTCTTATAAG